ATGCAGGGACAAGGTCGTGATTCCCGCTCTCCACAAGAGGAGACAGAGGCGCCCTCTGCTCGCAACTCGAGCGAATGGAGGGGGAATCTACGCGAGATAAGCTAAAAATTCCAGTCAAATAATGCTACTTTTGCTATTTTTGCGAGCCTTAGTGATTCTAGTGCTTCAGCATATTTGAAATCATATGATAAGACACAAAAAGGATTTTTTAAAAATCTGAAAAAACCTACAATTTTCTATTAAACCAAGTTTATTTTTAGTCTCATGACCAGGTTTCATTAACTGTTATCGCTAGAAGACAGGATATTTTCATGCAGTTTTGTGTAAACATTATCGCTTAACTGTAGAGCTTAGTGCAATGTTTACAATGCTGCTACAAAGTATCAAATTGTAACAATTCTTGAATCATTATCTTAACGGCGCAGAAAGCAAACAATTAAACATTAAGTAATATTTTCCTTGTATAGTTTTAATGGTAATACTGTCAGTGCGTTCAATATCCCTTAAAACAACAACAAACTCCCAGACTCAATATCAATATGATAAGGAAATTTGTATAAATTGGAAGATATCAGCGAAACATAAGTGTTTGATTCACTAGAGTAGCGTGACAAGTTCATATGCGCTAGTAACTTATTTTAAAAAGCGTTAGTTTATTTATCTTGGTTTTTTAATAAATGAATAATACAAATTTCTTTTGTTTAACAGAAGTCTAAAATGTTGACTATTAATATTGATGAGACTGATGAGAAAATTAGTAGGAAATTGGTTGATTCAATTGATGCCATTTTATTCGATATTGATGGTGAGTTGATGTGTTCAATAGTTTTAAAGCAAATTTTTATCAATCAACATTATATATTCTAGGGGTGCTGTTAATGAACCATCAAATAATTCCCGGATCCATTGAATTCGTAGATAAATTACGAAAACTGGGAAAAAAACTAGCATTTGTCACGAATAACGCCATTAACTCACCACAGAAAATTCTCAAATTCTTGGAACCTTTCAATGCTCAACTTGAGGAAATATACAATCCAACGTCGTCCTTTATCGACCTATTGAAAAAAAATGGTTTCAACAAGGATATTTTTGCAATCGCGAGTGATGGAGCAATAGAAGTAATGAGGAATGCTGGACTTAATGTTATTGATTATGAGGTAATKTTTKTYCAATGTATATACAGATTGTTTGATYATCAAGCATATACATACATACATACATACATATATCAATCATCTTTATTACAGTCATCCCGTCAAGCAAAGAAGTAAATTTAACTGCGCTAAATTTKATTTCGTATRCTTGATACATTTTCAAATAAAAGCTAAAAGTCTGGAAAAGTAGGCATTTTACGTCAATTCRTTTMTGTACGGGATTATWTTTGCCTYGAGGTCAGAAATTTATCAGCAAGTTCAWGRGACTGTMMGTTTTTATCGTGGAAACACAKGCGACATGACACGGKTTTTTTTTAATTTATTGGAWWAWWTKAWWATAGGCWWAAAGGCAATATTGCATSWAWTTSTATTTGATAGCTTAAGRAAARTRTGATATTTTTGCAAAAYAATAGTTTCATSAATTKAYCAMATCACCTAATTTTCAGCTATTTAAGCATAAAACAAAATATGTAAAGGAAATAAAAGTTGTATTTTTCATAAAATAATTGTAACTTATGCTCAATATARACATAAGAGTTTATTKTTGTTGATTTAGAGCATACAACAAGAGAGACTAACTGATGTCCTATCAGTTAGAGAATTATCTCTAAAAGGCTTAGATCGTGGCAAAAACGTTGGAATAGTATATGTAGATACGAATTTCAATACCTGCTACGGATCCTTGCAAGTGGGTCAAGTCCTTTTAAATCGCATCGAGAAAGTTCAATTCTTCGCTGCATGTCCTGATGATACGGGTTCCATAGGGGACAATTTGTTTCTAACAGGTATAAAGACTACTTACTACAAAACAAATTAAAAAGTATCTAAATGTGTAAAAATTCATATTAACGTTGCTTTAGCGGTGGATGTATTTAGTCCAGCGGATAATTTGTTGTAAATCTCGTTAATATCAATTATTTTGAGTTTAGGATTAATTGCATCTTAAATAACAGGCACGGTGCAAACACCGCTAATGCTGCAATAAAAAGGAATAATTTTATTTATTGTTAATGTATTTAGTACTATTTGGTAGCCAGTTCGTATCTTCGTTTTCACATCACATACGTTTTTTAGCACATACTCAAATTAATTTCGTTCATCAGTTGTACCTAAATATCCTATCAGCCAAAGGCAGGGCAAGGCATTTGAGGAAATTAAAAAGAGCATTAAATGTATTTATGATATGATTGAGCGAGATAAAAAACAAAAATTAAAAATATTTTTTTAAGGACTTCAACTAATTCGCGAATGTTCCAGAAGCTTTTTGAACACATGAAGATAATTACGCTACACCTACCAAGCATAGTTGCTCGTTTGCATTGTTTGTTTACGTTTTTTTTCAACCCGACCTTCATTTGAATACATTTCTCACATCGTTCCAAATGGGTTGTCTTTGATTTATTAGAGCTTTCTTGTTCGTCTGCATTGGCTTCCAACCATGCCAAGCCTATTAGGGAACACTCCGAAGCAGCCGGTCTATCATGTAAATGGTGAATATCAAAACATATTTTCCATGGAACTTTTGCGATCGTTGAGCTCGTTTGCAATCATCAGCCTCTTTCATTAATCGCTACTTGACGTTTTTCTGTTGAGTGCTGCACTTATCTCTTTAAAATGTCGATAATTAATTGCTTCCAGGCATCATTTCCAGAAGTTTTTTGCAGATCAAAAAAATTAAGTTAATGAAATAAGGAAACGATTGTCAAAAAACTTTTTTATTATTTGTTTTTAGGTCCTAAATATAACATAGATGCGTTGGAAAGATGGAGCAATAGAAAAGCCTCAGTAATAGGAAAGCCTGAAAAAGCACTAGGAAATATTATACAATCCAAGTTGAAGATATCCGATAGCCAACGAATTTTGATGATAGGAGATAGGTAAGTACTGTATATAATAGTTTGTAATTTTTTAAACCTTAGATTTTTTCTATAGAACGTTTCGTTTTTTGGATGAAAGCATGTTTGTTTCTCATCAAATTTTAACCCTCATTTTATTTCAGTATTGCATCTGATATGGCATTTGCCGTAAACTCAGGCTTCAAAAGTTGTTTGGTACTAAGCGGCATTTTCACTAAAGGCCAATGGGACGACTGGAAAGAGCCAGAAAATCTAAAACCGAACTATATTGCTACCAGTTTGGGGGCAATTTATGAAAAAATTCAAGATGTGTGATTCATTTTTACACTATTATATTGAAACATGTACAAGATAATTTTGAATAATAAAGCAGTTCGAATTTGTTTATGATTTTTAATTTTAGTCTTGTGTCGCTTTAAATAGCCGATAAGTGCAAAGTTAAAGACCCATAAATCCTATGGACAAGATAAAACAAAGCCGCTTTCCAGAATTGCTTTTTATGATCATGTCAGAAAGGATACATTTGAAAAGAAAAAACATCACTTAGCCGGTGATGGTAAATTTCCTCTAGGCTGGGAGGTTTAACAACTTTCCTGCTTAACGATAAATGACAGGAATGCTCCATATGGGGACCATAAATATTTACCAATAAGCGAAGGGCCTGAAATCTACCTGGTTTCAGCTTCCAACCATTTCAAAGTTTGGAGGGGTTTTAGAAGGAAAATCTGAAATCACTTTTATTTAGCAGAAACCGTGCGTAAGATAAGTAAGTGTCGGTGTGCATTTAATCACCAGGTTAGTGTTTTTTAGTAACTCTTGGACTTAAATTAGCTACATATTCATAATAAATAGTAATAAGGAAAATTGGCTCACAAAGTAGCCTTCGTAAATGTCTTTGATTCAATAGTTCAATTAATAAAACAATCTTTTTGCCATTTTTTTGGGTTCTATAAAACGTGGTATTGAAATCTTGCAAAACACTTTGAATGTATTTATTAACATAGGTTCCATATCCTCGAATTTCCTGAAGCAAGCCGAAGTAATATTTGTAAGGTTTTATTCTTTTTGTGTGTTTACCATAATATTTGACAACTAACAACGAAAAGTTTAGCTTGAAAAAATGAATCATCAAAAAATGAAAACGAATGCGTGAAGATTCAATGCAAAGAGTAGTTAAATATAATTATTATTTATATCCAAATATTACTATTATTTATATTATTACCTACTCTTTGGCTAAAGTATACCTAAAAAGTCCATGTTAAGGAAATATGAATGCTTTCGTGATAGGCATAGGTGATAGCAAACCTGCCCAACCGCTTTACTTCATGAATATTAAAATGGAAGAAAGAGGGAAAAGTGTTTGGGATTTCGTCTTCTTGGTATCTAACAGACTCTTCAGTCGAGTTCGGAAAAGTTGTTAGTCGCATGAAGCTTAACTCGAAACTGTAAAATAATCAGGTTGTATACAGGAAAGTAAGGTGCGTAAGTTTCCAATATACAATTTTTTGATTACAATTATAGTTTGTGTTTAACATTGCGTTTGTATATTGATGCCGGTTGAGCCCCAACTTATTTGCAAAAATGAATAAAATTTACTCATTGCAAGACTTATTATTATCATGTTTTAAAGTAGAAGGCTTCACTAGTCATCAAACTCGGAATAAATGTTTTAAATTCGTTTTTGCAACTGGAAAGACATGCTTATTGGCACGGACTAAGAGACAATACGCAAATTAATCATGTGTTTAAATTACACCGTCCTGCTATTATACCACTTCATTAAAATAGAAAAAAATAACTTGCGCAAACATATGGTTCCCACTGTTCGGAGTGTTTGTAGTTGTAATGTTCGTCTAAATGTGTAGAGGTGAACGTTGCGGGTCAAGTTCATTACTGAAAATTTACGAGAAAATGTTATTATGGTGATGTAGATGTAGACAATAGGACGATGTGATAGAAATTAACATTTCAGGTAAATTAATGTAGGCAAATAAGAAAAAAAAAATGTAGGAAAATAGATACATTTACACGTTAATACATCAAGAATTGCTAGTGTACAACTTCACGCCCCATTTTTCAAAATTGAGCGTGACGTATGGTAAGATCCGAAAACTTAATACTTTATTAAAGAAATAGAAGATCTAGTAAAAACTTTATTTGCTAAGCAAAGTAAGGAAATAAAAATACGCAATAAAAAATAAAAATTAACGAACAGTACGACAACAATCTCTGAATATATTAAACATATAAATAATATTGGACCAAATCCATGGAGTTAAAACTCTACATGTTTGGCGTTGGCACTGTTTAATTGAGACATGGAATGAATACAAAGTCGTCGACATTTAAAAAATAAATTTGGCGTATACTGTTTCTCCCAGCACACTAAGCGTATGAATGTCTATTTTTAAATTCACATTGTAAAAATATTATTTTAAGTATGTATTCTTTAGACAACATACAAATATTCTTCAGATACAAAGTAGGAAAAGTGAAATAAATGCGAATATTATTTTAAAACACTGGTCAATATGCAACGCCTGTGGGTAGGTATAGAAATACAGATTGATACGATGCCAGAGATAGTGCGAATCTTTAAAACACATAACCATTTTTGTGCTTAGATTTGAAACTAATCTAAGCACAACAACGAAATCTAGTGAATTCTGCCAACCATAAAAAATAAACTTTGTACCTTCCAGATATGCAAAATTTGATTAAGGTTCAAAATGATAAGTAAAACGTGACAAAACGAACTTGATAATTTTTGTCGCGCCACACATTTAATTACTTTTAATTACGCAGTTTAATACAGTTAAAAAATGTGTGGTTGAACATTTAAACGTTGCCCCTGAAATATCTGTAAGCGTTAGAATTATCTTCAGTTTCCTTGCATTAGAGTGTACAAAGCTATGTAACAGGATTTAAATGGGCTCATATGTATTGAAGATTACAAAATATTGTTATTGCTTCAGAAGCATACCTACATATCCACTAGGGTATTCATTTTCGTTATGTTCACTCATATTTTAAATTTTGCATAAGTTATTGCAATATTTACTTAAAAATAATTGGATTCAATCAACGAAAGCAAAAATGCTAAAGACATATGCGAAATATACGCAAAATTTGTTCGCCAAAATATGTATGCTAAACTTGAACAGGGCAGTAACTAGAACAGTTGCATGCAACAAAAGTGAAGTGCATGAGGAAAAATTGTTAGCTACTATTAGATATAGATTCATCAGATGGTGCTTTTCAAAACAGGTTTAGTGACATATTCTATAAACCCTATAAAATTATTCCAGTGAATGAAAGATGAATGGCCGTACAAAATCTTACTCTTGTGTTTTGTTAACAACGTTGTGTACAACTGAACGATAAAACAACCCATACGGAATAATTTCTTTAAATCCGGACCACCACTGTGGAAGCTCTTGATTTCTATATTTAACTGCAAAACTCGTTAACCAACAAAGAGAAAGTCAGTTTTCAAGTACACAGGCTAAAGCAGTGGGAAAAGATAATGTGCAATCAAACGTTTGATAACTTTTATCGAATAGAATTAACTTTCGGGAACGATCATGTGTACATACCTAATGTTCAGCCGGTTATCGAAAATCCATTGCTTGTGTGACTGGAGGATTCAGTCGAGTTCTTTAGAAAATGTCTTCATTTATCTTATAGTTAGTTATAATTTAACATTGGCCAAGGTAGGTGACATGTGTTCATTCTTGTTTCGCGTGACTAATTTTTAATTTATTGGATTGTTTCTTACCCATC